AAGAAAAAAATAAATTATATTTCATACAAAGGAATTGGAAATTCGGTTGGCATTCCAAAGACAAGGGCTGGTTGCAGTGTTGCCAGATGAAGAAAATAAAAAATGGTATCTGTCATTTGAAAAAATGGTATTTCACACACAAAAAATGGTATCTTCAATTCTGAAGGGGAAAAGTTGTTATATTTTATTGCTTTTATTTCTAAATGTCTGTTCCAACGCATCAAAACCCGTCCCAAGAACCGTTTCAAAACCACTCTGTCTGTATTACGAACTTTGGATTTTATCGTTGATTGATTCTATGCATATATTTTTGTTTTTGCGCAGAATCGTGACAGTACAATGAAGAATTTCCCGCTGTGTTGGAATGAAGCTTATGATTAGCACACGAGTCCATCTAGTTCTTGAAAACGAAAATTCGGTTAGCATAATGACGTCATGACTTTAGCTGGAGTGATCCTAATGTTTTACTGCAATTTAAAGCATTTTAACATAAACCTAACAAGAAAAAAATAACAGCAAAATGGAAACATAAAAGTCCTTCGATAAAACAACTAGACATCACAGGAACAAAGAGTTCAAACAATTGAAAATGAAGAAAATATGGTATAATATGCAAAAAATGGTAACTTTCATCAAAAAATGGTAGAAAAATGGAAAATGGTATCCTCAAAATTTTTCCAGGTATCATGGAAGAAAAAATGGTATAAATACCATTTAAATGGTATATCTGGCAACGCTGGCTGGTTGGATCTAGGTCACAAAATGCAAGGCATTGTTGAAGAAATGATGTATTTGCCATATTTCAAAAAATATGAAAAAGAACTGAAAATTATCCTAATACAGGGCTAATATCCAAAATAACATAACTTTGGGTTATATCTTAATAATGACAGCTAATTTTGAAAATCTTACAACGCCAATGGATTCTACGTAAAAAAATATATAATAATCAGTTTTTACTTTTCCGATAAGTTGAAAGACAGCTTAGATACAAGGGGGTCCCAAAATTCATTATTTTCAATTTTGCCTTGTAATGTCTGCCCAGCGAGCGGAACTTTTTGGAAGTGTTATCGTATTGCAATTCGTACACGAAAATCAGCAATGACCAAATCTCCGCCACTGGATATGTCAATATAAATCGATATTCCAAGATGGGAGGATAAAATGACGCGAGCCCTGGCCAATAGCGAGACGTAAGGTGACATTAGCTCTTTGACAACCGTATGGTTCCCCATGACAACGGCGATCCTGCCAAAAACTCCACCAATCAGGTTCATCCAGGACGGATGCTTGCCAAATTGTCAAAAGCTGATGGTATCTTTAGAAAATGTCTATTTTTTACAATAGACCAAACTGAAAAATCAGGATTAAAATAAGGATAGGTCTAACAACCACGTTAAAACATTTAGCGTTTTATTATTGTTATCAATATTTTGTTATCAAAAAATGGATTTTCAAATTAACTATACTTCATGCCTAGTATTTTCGCTTTTTTATAATTAAACGTGGCAACATGGCACATTTACGTCCGAATTCCTTCCGTAGACTCAGATCCGCTGGGTAAACAATATGTCAAAAACGAAGCGAGGTATGAAAATTTTGTTTGCAGTATCGTGAGTTTCACAAAAAAGTAGCCAACAAGTAACATAATGAGACAAGTTATTCAAGTACCTAAAAATAAGTGAATTGTTGCGGAACTTATGGGTGGACCTCTGCGGGACGAGCGCAGCGAGTTCCGCAGCCATCTATTCATCAATATGTTGTTTAATTTACTTGAACAGTGCAATGGTATATTGGTGATTAGATGGCTGCGGAACTCGCTGCGCTCGTCCCGCAGAAGTCCACCCATAAGTTCCGCAACAATCCACTTATTTGTACTCGAACAATAACTTATTATATAAAGTCAAAATTTGTAAGATTATCCACTTTTTGTCAATTAGCCTTTTAACAGGAATAAGTAATGTTACTTTACCAAACTAGTAATATATTGTAACAAGTTATTCAAGTACAAACGAGTGGATTGTTGCGGAACTTATGGGTGTACTCAGCCATTTATTTACCAATATGTTGTTCAAGTACAATACTAACCTGATTCACTCAGTTGAGAATTTCTCTTATTAGTTCAAAAACTACACGTTTCAGGTGAGTGTCTTATTTGAACAGTTAAACAGTATATTGGTGAGTAGATGGCTGCGGAACTCGCTGCGCTCGTCCCGCAGAGGTCCACCCATAAGTTCCACAATAATCCACTTATTTGTACAGGGTGTTTTTTTATATATTGACACCCCACCTACAGCATTTACCTTCACAGATAGAAGAAAGGTGTAAATACAAAAGTTGTACAGTTTTGGCTGAATGTTTAGAAACCATGGTCAAAAACAAAATTTGAATGTCAGAAATGTGAAATTTAGCATACTTTCAGCTTTTTTTAAATGGGGTGCCCTATATTTTATTCTATATTCTTGAAGAGCACAATGCCCCGATCTCCAAAAATTGTAAAAATACTATCCTACTACTGATTTTGTGAACCATTCTACCTGTACAGGTGAAAGCTGCATGTAAAATTTGAGGAACTTGGTTTCTCTGATATTATTTCAAAAATTTCTAGAATCAAATACCTATGTTGGAGACGGCTAAACCCAATATAGACAAACTATATAGAAATTGTGTTCTTCAAGAATATAGAACCAACTATACAGGGTGTCCCAGAATATGTGGGCAATCTCTCGGATTCAGATAGAACACAAAAAAATAACATGACAACTTCCTATAAAAAAAAATTCCTACGGCCCCCCCTACGAAGTTACGTGCCCCTGAAGGACGCCTCTGAAAATCGGTTTTTTGTTGATAACTTTCAGAATACTTCGTGTAATTTTTTTAAATTTTAATATGATGGATACTTACTAGATAAGACCTCTTAAAATTGACCCTTTCAAACACACTTGGCCAATCTAGTTTACCAGGGACGCACTAGCAGTAACACAATAATGCTAATTTTTTTTACACCCTGTATGATATAGGCATAGCGATAATATTTTTAGATTGTTTCAACCTTGAACTAGAAAAAAGGTACTCTTATTCGATGTCAAAAAAATGAGCTGGTTTCGAGAAAAATCTGTTTTTGTGTATTAATGGTTTTTTATTAAATAATTTTTTATGTCGACTCAACATGAGATTTTTCTAATCTTATGCATTCCATACCTATTTTAATAAAAGATTGTTCGACTCTCGACAATGCTTCAATATTAGCCCTTATTTCGCGAAAGTGAAAATTAATCCTTTCTACTATTATTTCCTCAGTTTTATTATTGCGTTAAAGCTAGTCTGTCCTAGGGTTGACAAACTATCGAAAAAAAAACTATCGATAGTGATATCGATAAAATGGCTTACCTATCGATAGTAACTATCGATCGTACTATCGATAGTTTGCTCTGACCAAAGTAATAAATTTGTGAATAATTACGAAATAAATTTATCAAATGACAACAATAACATCATAACCTTAAATAATCATTAGGCAATTCAAACCACGAGACATTCAAGATGGCGTTGCGGCCTCACATGGACCAAAAATCACAAAAAAATATCTAGTTTCCGCCCGACTTAATAGTTTACGTACCTAGTGAACACATATTTTATTGAATAATCAAAATCAAAGCTGCAAGTAAAACCCGAAGCAAAATAATTAAAATATGCATGAAAATACTGAAATACATATTCAAAAGAAACTTGCTGACCGCCACGCCATATTGAATTATTCGTTTTGACAGATGGATAGAATTCAAAAGGTCTGTTTCTGCAGAAATCACAGACGAGTCAGAACGAATTTCATTGGTTGAAAACAGAAACAGTCAGAAAACTAGTTTCAACCAATGAAATTCACTCTGACTGGTTTGTGTTTCTGCAGAAACAGACCTAATGCCACTCCTAACCTAAAAATTAAAAATTGGCCGCACAGCGCATGTCTGCCCCATCAAAAATTAATTACAGATTTCTCAAAACAGCTACAGGTTTCTTTATATTTTCCTCAATCTACAGATATCTTCATTTACATTTGGCTACTTTTGGAACTATCGATATTGGTACAGGGCTATCGATACTATCGAAAATTAAAAAAATATCGATAGTATCGATATTCCTATCGATAGTTTGTTATCCCTAGTCTGTCCCTGGTAAACCAGATTGGTTAAGTGTGTTTGAGAGGGTGCATTTTAGGGGGTCTTACCTAGTATCCATCATATTAAAAGAAAAAAAATTAGACAAAGTATTTTGAAAGTTATCAACATAAAACTGATTTTCAGAGGCGTCCTTTAGGGGCATGTAACTTTGTAGGGGGGGCCGTAGGAAGTTTTTTTTTATAGGAAGTTGTCTTGTTATTTTTTCGAGTTCTATCTGAATCCGAGAGATTGCCCACATATTCTGGGACACCCTGTATAGCGTAGGTATCCCATTTGAAAATAGCTGAAAGCATGCAATATTTCATATTTCTGAGATTCAATTTTTGTTTTTGATCAGGGATTTTAAAAATTTAGCCAATACTATACAACTTTTGTATTTACAACTTTCGTCTACCTATGAAAGTAAAGGCTGTAGGTGGGATGTCAATAAATAAAAAAACACCCTGTACATAATCTAATTGATTTTGTATGAATATTTATTTATTTGAACAAAAAAAAAACAATATACCTACATCAACTTAACCACTAATGATATACTGTTTGTGGTTAAAGTTCTTGGGACAAAGACAACCCCCCCCCTCACTCTATCCGCCACTAATCTTTAATATTTTTAAATTCTTCAGTTTTTGAAAGCTTGAAATGGAAGGTCTTCAAAATTATGTTGCAGCTTGCAGCTCATTAATACTCACTTATAAACCGGAGATTTTTAAAGTCTTTGAATACTTTGATGTCTTTAAAATCTTCAGAGACTTTAGTCAAAGACACTATAAAAGCTATGAAGATTCTTAAACACTATGTATTGAACTAAATAAGAAAACTCACCGTCCATGTTGAGGCCCCACATTTCCACTGTCAAACGATGACGATGCAGTGATGTCACTATCTTTGATGGCACCATTTTCCATTCCCAACGGTGCGATACATTGGGCTGAAAGAAGTCATTTTTTTAAAATATTCTATTCCAAATGTTGGAAGTTAATTCTAATCCCCTGATGCCCCCGTTCGGATTAAATGATGCTCAATGTGTTCGAATTGGAAGCATACGCCAAATCCCCTGTGATTGGGCGATTAATAACCAATTTTAGAAGATTATGACGTTGCTAATATTGACAGTTAATCCTTTGTGACAATGAGTTTAATATACCTACTATACGGTTCTATTACTATCGATACTACTAGTGAGTTTTTATATAATAATTTATAAATTTTTTCAGATATATAATAAAAATAGTACATGTATACATAAAAATAATAATCAATCATCATTAATGGGTATATACATAAATATTAAAGTAGAATATCAATTTGGTTGGAGTATAATGTCTGTAATAATGGCAGTATTAGCTGACTAATGATTACAGTAACAATCCCCCAAATGATCATTTTGTATAGATAAAATTTCCATTAGATATTTATTATCCATAATGATAAATTCGATACTTACATGGATCGACGCTTTGAGACTCTTTGCCGTAAAGTATCAAAATCAAGTATACTATCCATCGTAGTATCATAGTTCTTTGAGCTTCAGGACATTTTTCTGGAACAAAAAAGAATATTGGATTAGTAACTCAAATTCGAACATAGATTTTGCTTAAAATTATTATTATAATAGATGTTAAATAAAAACGAATCAAATTACCTATATTAAGGTGTGGTTTACAAAATTGATACAGCAATCCAATATAAATTCTCGTAATCCCATTTAAAGCGATCTTATTTGAAACCACCCGCTGTAGCGAGAGCCCTCTTCTTGTTTTGTTGTCTGGTTAATATTAATGAAAACCAGTAGAGGTAAAATACCTCTTTGTAGAAACATCGATTTCCTATTGGATGTCTTGTGTTGTAATAACAGCCTAAATTTGCTTTCTGGCATCATCATACCATTACTCAAACAATAAAAGCTAATGATTAATCTCATTCGAGATTTTTTTTGCTTGTGTGTTCCATTTGGTCATAATTAATGGCACCTTATATGGCGCTAAGTAATCGAGATACCTTTTCTGATTAGCCAACTCACTGGACATTAATATGGTCTACTAGATTTTCTAATAATTATTATTATTAGATTTGGAGAAGAATTTCTAATTTAATTAAAAACATTAAATCGATATACTCTTAAACACATTAAGATAAATATCGAATCCCAGCTACCCCATATTAAACCCGACTCGCATTAGCTTATCGGCATCGGGATCGCATCAACAAATAATAAAGCGAGAGTCCCGGTTTTCCGGTTTAGACCGAAAGATAGCGTCCTGCCAGCTTCGCGGAATCCTGTACCATTGCCAGAAGACTATTCCCGGAGCATGAAATAAACATAAAGATAAGTTAAGTACACCAGCGTGTTTCGACCCTAGAATTTACTTACTATAGTAAATTGCTGAGTAAAAACTGTGTAATTTTAGAATTTTGTATAAAAAAACTACATTATTTTGGTCTCCTCCACCAATTTTACAGTTTTTTTTTATATTAGATAAGGTTTTTCTACAGGGACTTATTTCATTTTTTGAGTTTCTTAATAAAATGTTTGAATTTCCATTACCTTTCAGATTTTTTCCAATAATTGGTAGAATTTTATATTTTTTTTCACAAAAGACCCTATACACAATAAAGTCTGAAAGTTTGAAGTTCCTCTGACTGCTTGAAGTAGGGGTTTTTTATTCCTCTTTAGAGGCGTGACCATTTTATTCTAGGTACAATATAGAACATGATCAATTGACTCTTCATCTGCAAAACACAAAAACAATTTTGCCTGGCAAAGTTGAAGAGCATGCAGCTATTTTATTAAAGCTCCATTAGGCTAAATTCACTTGAAACCACGTTGTGCAACTGACACCCACCAGCAAATCATAATTCAACAATTTCTCGCCGGTATTCGGTAGTGCCCCACTGCTACACTTACCTTTAATAGTATAATCGTGCAACAAATGGGATCCTAACCTACCTATTATGGTAGACGGCTTTCCCAGGGGACACCAATTACCAAAAAGAAATATTCAAACCATGATTTCTTGCCCTGGATATCAGTGAAACGCAACTTCAATTGTTGAGAGGAAGTTATTGAAAACATCTACAGCCAAATGCTTAAAGTCTAATACCCAAACATGTTCAACTAGAAGTAGCTCACCAAACTTCTGATTTGAAGTTAGAAACATAGCTTAGGTAATTATTTTTTTAACAGCTTATTCCTCCACAATAGTCTACTGCCGACTGACGAATATTAAAATAGATATTACGTATTGGGTTTATGAAAATATTATTGAAATAAACAAATCCTCCTCTTTACTTGCTGAAATGCACAAAACACCAATTTCAGATTGTTTCGAAAATGTGATGATCATTATTTGAGTAGCAACAATTGCCAAAACTACTTAGTGCAAAACAATTATCATTTTTTATGTAGGTACCCACTGTATACTTATTATCCATCAGATAATATGTACAGTGGCGTACCCACGGGGGAAAAGTACCACCAGATGCCCATACCAGCATGAAGCATCAGTCAAAGTTATAATGAGAAAATAAAAGATACCTTAACCAAAGCAATTAAATAGAGAATTCCGAAAAGAACTCCTTCATTCGACTTATATATTTGCCCCACTTAGATTTAGCAAAACATCAGAATTCTCATTCCTTACAAATCTTCATAGTGCTATTGTGTCACTGTCACTACACATCGTGCGCCATACCACGGCTTAATGGATTGGCAATGATGTCAATCTATAGAGAACTATCTGCGAGTAAAGATGAAATTATAGATAAACTGGCAAAAAGATATAAGCGACCAAATTCTGCTTTATAAAAAGCTTAATCCGACAGTTCATTGAAAATTTGCTTCCTGTTGCCCTGAATATTTTGTATCCCCCCCTAAGATTAATGTTTGGGTACGCCACTGAATATGTACAGTGAGAATCATTACAATATAGGCACACACTATAAACATTTCCCGTAATGTTTCAAATAGGAAAAAAGACTTGCTGGTAAACATCCTCCAGCATTTTAAATGTTTGAATGAATTTGGATCAAACGACTTTTTGTATTAAAATTGTATTCGCTAACATCCAATGTTCCTCTATCTTAGCCCCGGTTTATTCATCTTGCTGGTAACTATCTGCAAGATAAATTTACAGATCTACAATCCTGTTGGTCACAGGATAAATGATTGACCAATGGGATTACATATTGCGTTTTTATCCGTCAAATTGTATTACCTGATAGTTTATTAGAAAGTGAATAAACCGGCACTTATAATGTATTAAGAGCCTCTTGAAGAGCCGGGAATAGACAAAGGTTTGAAAATTGAAAAACAGAAATTTAGGAAAAATCGCGTAGATAAGTAGACTTAAGTATGTTGCTTCATCCACATACCAATTAAAGGTAAAAAGTTTGTAGCACCTATCAAAAGTAATTATTATATTCTTATATTTGATGTAATTTTGCCACATAAAAATGCGGGCAGTAAATATATTTGAATCAGACTGTCTATGAATCTCAGCGTTTGACATTGGGGGGCTTAGCCCCAGTGTACTTTGGGGGTCTAGACTTCAAATGGCATTCGTCAATGGAGCGGCGGTTTGGGATACTTTGGGTGAGTATTGGTAAGCTTGGAATACTTTGTGCTAGTATTTGAAGTTTGAGTTACTTTGAGTTAGTATTGGTAAGTTTGGGTTACTTTGAGTTGACCTGGAATCATGGTCTGAGATGGAAACACTACAGACGCTTACTAGATGGAGTCAACCGAAAAATGATGATAGGAATTACATTTGCCTATAGAACGGTGACAACCACGGCCGTGGAGGTAATAGCAGGATAGCCCCCCATAGACTTATTAGTTAATGAAAGGGAACAAATATTGACAAATGGCGCAGAACACAAGACTGCAGCAAGGGCAGAGCTAATGAGAAGGTGGCAGGAGCGAGGGGCACGATATGGGCAAAGTTTTTAGTGAGAGATGTAGAAGAGTGGACAACGAATAAATTTGGAGAGGTGGACTACCACATTACACAGGCGATGACGGGCAATGACATTTTTGGAAGCTACTCAAAAAAGATAAAGAAGCAGGAAGGTGATGAATGCTGGTATTGTGGATACTTTGGGTTAGTATTGATAAGTTTGAGTTATTTTGAGTTAGCATTAGAGTTTGGGTTACTTTGAGTTAGTATTGGTAAGTTTGGATTAGTATTGGTAAGTTTGGGATACTTTGGGTTGGTATTCGTATTCCAGACTCTTGAATTTTCTTTATGTAGAGATATTCAGAAAGAACAATTCAACAATAGACAAAAATTAAGACGGAAAAATCCAGAAATTAAAATAAGAAATTTAAGGGAAATTTCTAAAATGCAGAAGTATATGCGAGAAGAAATTTCACAGATTTAATGAGTCTGCCTAGGTATTCTCTGATATAAATTTCACATTAGAGCAGAAAGATTGTCTAAATGAACTTCGAAATGAGGATGGGACGACAAACTGCGTGAACCAGGGATAAGGTCAATCCCTAGGGAATTCAGAGGCCTGAGAGCCAGGAAGGCACCAGGTCGCGAAACAGGTGAATGAGGAAAAGCCTAGAAAGGCATCATGATCTTTTCCCTTCTGGGACTGGAACACTTCTAATAGAGTAGACACAATGAGTATGCTATTATTTCCTATTAATCAGGCTTTCGAATTTTCTCTGTTTGGAGGTATTCCGAAGAAAACAATTCAAAAGCTGGCAATAAACAAACATTTAGATAGAAAAATTTGAGAAATTGGAAAGCAGAAATTTAGGGAAAATTGAGTTGATAAGTAGACTTAAGTATCTTTTGAATTTTCACTGTTTGGAAACACCCCCAGCTTACTACAATGACCAGTGTGTCCACCGAGTTTTCAAAGGTACATTAATAGAAATTTTTTTGCATTTTTCTAAATATTTACCTGTAAAATATGTTAGTTTATCTAAGGACACCCTATATTTCAAGCTTCTACGTTAAAAATTCAATCTTGCATACAGATAATTCAAAAACAGAAGAGAATGCCTTTAGGTTTGGTTTATTCACCTTCTGATAAACTCTTAGATGTCAAATAATACAAGGTCAGCCAGTTATTTGTCAACCAATAGGATTAAGAATGGTAAATTTCATTGTAGACAGTTACCAGTTGTTAGGGATCGCTGCCACCAATGTTGGGAATCGGTTTACCAATGCCACCAATGTTGGGAATTGGGAATTGGCCGATGCCACGAATGTTGAGTACTTCGATAATTAGAACTCTGTTATTGAATAAAAATGCTTCGTTTATTCAAATTCTCGTTGAGGGGGACACTTAGTTACAAAAATTGAGAGGCAACCCGCGACTATTCAGAGCGAAGCTTGAAATCTGAATATGATGTTTCTAGCGTGAAGATGGAAGTCTGAATGTCCTCTTCTCCAACTATCTTCCACCCAGGAAGACCAGTTTTGAGCTTTCGAAAAAAGGGTATTTTACAATTTCCTAAAACTACCTAATCCTTTTTACAAAGTTTATGAATGTGCTGAAATCTATTTATTAGGTACTAAATATATTACTTAGAAAGTTTGTACAAGTGTGGACCATGACGTAACCTAAGGGACTAAGGGTCCGGACAATAAAAGAAGGTCGGTATGATAGTATTGGGCCGACAAAGATATCGTCGGCCTCTCTGTAAAATAGATTGGTTATAATAAAACAAATTAGAAATATAAGAATAATCAAATGTTAATACAATTATTGCTGTGCTATAATATTGGGGTTACAACACAGTATAAGATGAATAAATCGGACCTCAAAGATATTTTAGTTTATCTGGTAGCAAAATATATTTACTTTTGTTCCTGATCGTCATACAGAAGCCACCTGCACGTGACCAATTGCCGCGGATAAAATTTCCTCGTAAAAAGCGTAATTTTTCCCACAGGCAGCAGTTTCTCGATTTTCAACGCCTGAAAGATTAGAGAGGTGTCGAGTCACTGCGACAAATTGCCTTTGTAAAGTCGAAACATGAACGGAAGTTTGGTACCCGTGTGGTCTCGTAATTAACAACCAGGATATTGTGTATTGTTCGTAAAAGTCTTCTAGAAGTCACTAACCCCTTGGTAGTGGCACAATTTTTCTAATCAAATACTTAGCACACATATGAGATTTAGCATTTTTACTATCTCCAATAAATAAGTAATTAAGCAAGATGAGATAAAATTTTATAGCATGATGATGGAAATTTCATGTTTTTCTTGAGACTACAAAAAACCGATTGCGGAATTGAATTTCACATGCAGGATTAAATCTATGAATAATTAGAGACTTTAATTATTGCTTTTTACGATAAAAACACATGTATAACACACAAAAATGTGCATTCGTTTAAAGGCAAAATTTACGGAGTCGTTCAAAAAAACCTTTATGGGCTATAAAAACGGTTTTTATTTCTCATATTTTTCAATCCAGTAGTCATATAATACACATTTTAGTCCGCAAACAGTTTTAATGCATTTTTAATTTTTTTACGAGTCGAAACAATAATTTTTAATGGAATTTTAATTTGAATTTCAATTGCACAAGACCGTCTGATTCTTTGACTCATACAGTTGTTATCAATTATTGCAAATATATGCGTTTTGATAATAAAAGAATGTCATAGAAATGATGCATTGAATCACAATAAGAAAATAACTCTCATAAATTCTCAGGTAGGTAGCATTGAAAAATAAATTACATTTTCATCGTAATACAAACATTTTTCAGCAGAGTGCAAAATATAAAAAACTATGATGTAAAAAGAGAATAAATAACATAAATACGAAAAATATGAATTCCCTTTTAGCATCATTCCCCTATCCGGAATTTAAATTAAACTTATACAGAAAGAGAGGAGTCTCTTTTGTGAAAATACCTAAGCACAAAAGTAATTTTGCATTTACATATTTCCAGAATATCCAATTTAATGCGCTGCCATCTCTCTTTCACTTCGGAAAAATATAAAAATATGAGATACGGATACTTATATAAGATGAAGATATTTGTGTTAGAAAAAAATTAAATATTTTATGTGTTTGCAGCTTCTTTGAAAGTATAATTTTCTCTTGGGTTAAGTGTTTTCATTAGTAGGTATTCTAGACTATAGGTAATTCAAGACTTGTAATAATAAAACCATTAGAAAACACTGTGTATTTCTATACCGATTTTTTAATTTTCCAGAAGTTCTTTCATATTGTTACTTGTTAGATTTTAGTGAGTTACACGAAATTTCCCATAAAATAACAAGTACCTATGAAAGCAAATCTTTGAAGTAAAAGAATTTAATAGAAACAAAAAATAACAGATTTTCGTATTCGAGAGTCCATGAACCAAAAATTTCAGGAACACCTACAAATATTATTAGGGTTTTATAGATTCACAAAGAAAATAATTTTTTCTACTACCGTGCGTAAAGTACTCACTTTACACACTATTCAGAAGACGTAAAATTTCACTTCACGCACTAGTGTGTAAAGTAATTCACTTCACATACTAGTGCGTAAAGTAATGTCAATGACACTAATGACAGATGTCGACACTGTCAATTTGGCATTTTTCTAGTAAATTACTTCACGCACTAATGCGTGAAGTGAAAATTCTTTACGCACTAGTGCGTGAAGTATTGGTCTAAATAAATTTTTTACACATATTTGATTGGTGGTAGAAAAAAATTTTATGCAATACGTGCGTAAAGTACCTTTTTTCACGAATGTGAATTTTGACGCACGAGCCGAAGGCAAGTGCGACAATCACATGAGTGAACTTTACACTTTACACACTTGTTGCATAAATAACTATTCTAATATCGTGCATGGCAGTCAAAAATCATTCTGTACAAGGAAACAGTCTTATAAGCACTTCTAGACTTGAATATTATAATCTCAAATATGTATTTATGATAATAATTATTATACTTAATGAAATCTATAATTATTAATATTGTAAATAAAAGTTTTAGTCGGTACAAGGCGGTTATACGCACTTCATTTTCGCGTAGGTCTAGACATGGTACTCGCGAGCAGGTAGTTATTATAATGACCTGTAATTTACTGCAGCGAAATTTTTAAATTTACACCCCATTAACACTCGACTTAACGGTTACACTGCAACACATGTCTGCGCGGAGGTGCAATAACACCGGTCATTATAGGTACGATCAAATTTAAATTAATGCTTTTGAAGGAAAACTTTACGAAATTTGAAACCTAAAAGAGTTTAATAATCCCTGGTGGAATTGTAGTAAAATTGTAATGGATTTTTTAATATTAACTTTAGTATTTATGTCTTGCCTATCTTAGAAAAGGGCATTGTCGATACAATTCGATTTTTTCTATACCAGGCTCTTGAATTTTCTCTATTTCATCAAATTCAAGAGCCGAGAATAAAATTTGTATTGAATGTAGATTTGGCTTAAGGTAGTACCGATTCTCATCCAAGCAAGTCTTGTCACTATCAACGTCACATTTCATCACCTCATTAAATTTTTTTTTGTGAAATTTTTAAAACTGCTTCCAACAAAAATCCTGGTTTACAAAAACATCATCAAAATCTTCACCAAGCACAAATTCAGGCTGGGCAATGGCCTCCAATATCCTACCGTCAAGAATAATACGCCATCAGCTACAAACAAGCCTACAACATCCCATAAAATTAAGAAATCTTAGAAACTTTTGCGACTGCAATAAACCAGACCAATCATCAGAAGACTCATCGTGTGAGAGATGCATTTCAACCGCCAACGATTGTGAAAATGCTGAAAATCATAGACAACCTGAAGCGTTTCCTTGCAAACCTGACTGTCGCAAAGGTAAGCCTAATATCCTACCCAGATCTTGCTTACCCTGGGAACAGGGAACCGAAATATGCCAAGAAGTGAAAAAATTGCAGAGTCTCACTTGCGAACATATTTGTGAAGCTTTCGCTGGCCAGGAAATTATAAAGCATCTGGAATTGAATGTTTGCGAAAAACGAAGGTTTAAAAAATGCACGGAGAAAACTAACGATGGTAGTCAGTGTATGGATTTCAAACCCAAAATGGGATTGTCCAAAAAAATATATCCGATGGTGCACGCTGGTAGTAAAAATAATATCGCTGGGAGCCCTGTGAAGGAACATTCTGGTTTTATTATACCTAAAAAAGAAAATTGCGAAGACTAATAATAATAATAATTTGGAAATAAAAATTGCAAAATTAATAATATAGGTATATAGTTTCTTTTAGACAGATTCTCGAACTAATTACAACAAATTGAACTACTAGTTTTGGTTAATCGACTATTTCCAAATTTGGTCGACCCAAAATCGACATATTTTTTTTTTATTTAATCAAGACCCATTATTAAATTATTAATGAATGAAGAAAAAAGAGAGCTTCATTGTTGAAGGATTAGAATAGAAGCCTTATTTGGATTTGGGTCGATATCACCATCGTATTACAAAACGAGCAATAGTAGCGTGGAAATGGGGTTTTAAAACTCAAACTTCAAGGATTGTTTGGTCGATATATGGCGATGTACGGCCTTTGTAGGGAAACTATACACTTTATTCAAAGAAAAAATGTTTTTTGTATAAGCTTAAAAAAATTATTTTTTCTCCAAACGTCAAAAAAACATCACTTTGTCAACACCTGTCAAGATGGTAGAAATTCAATTTCTATGCTGGTAGGCAAATCCAGCAGGTTAACACCTGTCGAGGTGGTAGAAATTTAATTTCTATGCTGCTTGGCAACCCCAGTGGCAGCAAAAGTACTTTTAGTGCCGCTCGTACTTTTACTGCCGCTCAACCATCCAGTTACCCCCGAGCTTACCACATTCGTTTGGAGAAAAAATAGCGTGTTGCATACGGAGTAGAAGCACTTTTTTGTGCTTCAGCAGTATTGCAAGCCTCACTACGTTCGGCTCGCAAACCCACTGCTTCAGCACAAAAAAGTAAAGCTTCTACTCCTAATACAACAATATACTATTGCGGACATTTCGCTTCATTTTCGGCCTAGTCCCCATCAGAGCTGTCAATATTTGAAGTAAATTACTTGCAATTCTACTTCCAGTATATATTAAGTACTTTAAGTGTTTTACTTGAATTACTTTTTTTGTTACGTAGGTATAGTCTGGCAAGTGGTAACTTGGTAGAGACGAAAGGGGGAAGAAAAAAGGGGCGTAGCCTAAAAATATTCAATGACACCTAAACTGACACGGCCTGATGACAGCCATGTCTTTGGGTTCAGTGGCACCGAAAACACCAAGGAAATAAACCAATAAAATTATAAGAAAAAAATTCTCTAGTTTCGCCAATAACTACGCCACTGCGTGTTGTCGTTCAGACTCTAACCAATAGAATCATGCCTCTGAATAATCACGCCTCTCTACATCCATCATTTCGCAATGTTGCCGGATTTTTTTCTATTTCAAAATACTACCTATGCCCATATAGCGAAAAAAAAATGTCACTAACTTGTTTTTTATTTTTTCCGTCAAGTTTGACACAGCAGCAAATTCTATTGGAGTTCGCCGTTTCGCTAGCCAGACTATACTTGAACTTGTAGTACTTCCAATATCTATTCTAAAATACTTGGATTTTCACCTGAATATGTCAAGTATTTTGCTTAAAGTATTTTAAAGGGTTAGGTATCCCTTTAAATTTTAATTCCAAAATCTTCAAACCTCAATTGCTCGGTAACCATTGGCCAAATTGCATTGAAATTTTCAGCATTTGTAGTTGTTATTAAGCTCTGAATGGCGTGCAATTTACAATATTCCTATGTTTGAAGTTTTTGAGCAAATTAAGTTTGAACCACATTTTACCTCAGATCTTTCGATCTTTGTTAATTTCAATGCGATCTTAACGTAATTAGTCTTGAAATAAAGCCAATAATAAATAATTTCAATGCAGCTTGGATAGTTTTTAGCCGTTCAAGTTTCAAAGTTTTTTCGAGGCTTTTCTACTTTAATTTTTAACAAGATGAACAAAGTCTATGGAGTTAACCACCCCCCTGAATTTGTGCAAGCAATTTTCTATTTTGATTAGATTCAGTGTTGAAACCAATAAAACACCCTGTCCAAAGTATACGGAAATTGTGTTTATGTCAGAATTGGCTGAATTTTGTATGTAATGTAGATCACGCCTTTCTGATTAAAAGTTATATATACGTAGCACACCACAAGCTTACCTATTTGTATCACATTGTATATAAGATTAAGAGAGATAGGATTATCCTCAGATTAACACATGAAATAGATAGGTTTATTATGATTAAAAAATGCCCCAAACATTGATTCCCATTCTAAGATCACTTGCGGACACTTACTGCAGATGTGCCATATGTATAAATTGTCCTAAGTTGCAGGGAAAATGGAATTAAAAATTGAAAAAATTATATCGTAAATATAAAAACCTAGATAGGTATATGTATATACAATTATAACATAAAATATCGGGGTGCTTTCCAAAATTGAATAGGAATAATTATTATATAAAATAATAATCTTTTGTCACAATAAAATTTGAATAAGAATTTGTGCTAGCTGAAAATGGCAACACTGCCTAAAATCTCGGAACTTGGTTGTATTCGTCTAGGAACGCCCAGCTGAATCGTTTTATCTTTGTTAAGATAACCAGATAAAGAAGGATGCAAATGTTTCCAGAGCAAGCCCGACCATAATCGCGAATGCGCTGTAGTATTCGTAGTAAGAAATGTCAAACGGGTTTTGTTTGTAATTGGCCCGCATTGTCCTTAATCTTATCCCCACTCCATGTAGTTCATTCATTAATCCACTATTGTCGTTTAGGATTGTTGGCCGCAGAAACCAAACGATTTTATGAATGACTTGCCCTCTCTATTTATGTAGTGTTACTCTAAGGGATTATCCACTTTTTGTCAATTTGCCTTTCAACAGGAATTATAGTTATGTTACTTTACCAAACTAGTAACATAATGTGACAAGTTATTTAAGTACGAACGAGTGGATTGTTGCGGAATTTATGAGTGGATCTCTGCGGGACGAGTGCAACGAGTTCCGCAGTCATCTATTCATTAATACGTTGTTCAAGTACGATACTAACCTGACTCACTAAAATGTCAGTAATTCTCATTAGTTCAAAAACTACAAGTTTCAGGTGAGTGTCTTATTTGAATAGTTCAACAATATATTGGTAAGTAAATGGCTGCGGAACTTGCTGCGCTCTTCCCACCGAGGTTCACCCATAAGTTCCGCAATAATCGACTTATTTGTACTTGAACAATAACTTATTATATAAAGTTAAAATTTGTAAAATTTTGATTATTCATTTTTTGTCAATTTGCCTTTCAACAGGAATTAGTCACGTTACTTCACCAAACTAGTAACATAATGTGACAAGTTATTCAAGTACAAATTAGTGAATTGTTGCGGAACTTATGGGTGAACCTCTGCGGGACGAGCGCAGCGAGTTCCGCAGCCATTTATTCATCAATATGTTGTTTAATTACGATACTAAACTGACTTACTCAAATGTGCGTTATTCTCATTAGTTTAAAAACTACACGTTTCAGGTGAATGTCTTACTTGAACAGTTTAACAGTATATTGGTGATTAGATGGCTGCGGAACTCGCTGCGCTCGTCCCGCAGAGGTCCACCCATAAGTTCCGCAATAATCCACTTATTTGTATGTACGTTCATTACAATATCCAAACGTTTTACTTGCTACCTATGAAATTAATTTTCTCAAAAAGGAATCATTTTTCAGAATTAGTGCAATGGTAACTTTTAATCAGGAAGGCGTAATCTACATTATATACAAAATTCAGCCAATTCTGACATAAACACAATCTCCGTATAATTTGGGCAGGGTCCTTTCCCCAATTTCTCCTGCATTCCCATAATTTCCTTCAAATTACCCCAAGTTCCCCCTAAATTCGTCTAAATTCCCCATAGTTTTGCATAAAATTCAGTTATTTCCAATGGGAAGCTACAAAGTAGTATCAGAATTGATTTGATTGACTGATTTTTTCCAATGTTTAATTTTTGATTATTCCCGGCTCTTGATTCAAATCAAGCGCCGGTAATAATCACTCCATTAATTAATTTTTGAATGTAGCAAGTCTTCTAGAATGTTCCTATAAAAATCCGCTATTCCCATATTTATATGTAACAAACCCATATTTATTATATCTCCATATTAGCTATATCACCTATTACCTATCGCATTCTATGCCTATCGCCATATAAATATTCATGCGTATTACCCTTGCCCTACAAGTCACCAAGCATTTTCCAAGCGGAATTGCATGCGATCGGAAGATGCCTGCAATTCAATCTAAACAAAAGATACTGGAAACGAGAAATTACGATAATGTCTGACAGGCAGATATCAAAACATTGAACTCACCAGTCATCAATTCTAAGATAGTATGGGAATGTCTACAGAAACTCAATGAGTTAGGAAAACAAAGTAACTCTCCTCAAAAAGGAAGAAAACCGGCTAAGAAACAAACACTGGCTAGAACAGCCAGGACTACGACAGGCCAAAGATCTACTGGACAACTTTAACCAAAAAAGATCAGAATTGCTAGTCAACCTTAGCAAGAAAAGTCTCAAAACGCTAACCGAGTTCCTCTCAGGACACTGCAGACTCAAAAAACACCTACACAAATTAGGTCTGGAAGAAAATGGCACCTGCAGATTCTGCGAACACGGAGAGGAAACACCTCACCACCTTCTACTGAATTGTAACGCCATTAGTCGTTCAAGGATGAAGAATCTGGGAAGCCCCACCATACAGTAGGAAGATATTTCAACTCTGGAACCGCTGGATATCCTAAAATTCCTTAAGGATCTATGACTGGAGGGGCTGCTTTGAGCAGGAAGCCCTGACCTGGTAGCAGAAGGAGGGGTACAATAGATCTACCAGGTCGCGGAGCAACTGACACCTCCAACACATACATAAAACATTCATACCCTTGCCCTATGAACTCGTGATTTAAAAAAACCCCAGCCTTCGAACTCGTATAATTAGAAATACCCTCGCCCTACGGGCTCGGAATTAAAAAGAACTCCGGCCCTGCGGGCTTGCAATTTATGGCAACACCGCTCATAGCACAACAAACGTCAAGAAACTGACGTTTCAAAATAGGGCTTGTTTTTTTGACAGTTAACACCAAAACGACAAGATTGCTGTTTGT